AATGACCTAACTAAATTTTCAAGCGAGGATATAGCATAGGCTGTGTAAATTACTAAATGTGGTGGGCAATAAAAAAGTTCAATTCAATATTTAAGGACCCAACGTCAATTCGTTCAATTAATTTTTAAGTATTTAGGCAACTACACATATAGCATTTGAGTTGTACGCAGCTCACTTTAATGATAACCTTGGGCCAAAACAATGAAATTCCTAAAACCGAAGAAAATGTGCAATATAAAAAGTTCCATCCTGTTTCCTACAGTCAATGCGTTAGCATATTTAGCTGTAAGTCCATAACTGAAGCTTTCTAGATCGTGAGATCCTAGTTTCAAATCCCGACGGTGACGGATTTTCTAGGATTAAAATGAAATTTGTTTCTTAAATTTGCTACATTTTACGCAATTGTTATTTTAATACCCAAACGTAATACTATTAACAAAAATATATCCTATCGGTAATGTTTACTTGAATTTGAAATCTTAATACTGAGGAGAGCAGATTAATCATTACGTGCACTATAAATGTATAGACTTGGTAGAAGTGAATGTAATTCAACTTCTTTGAATGACGTTTAGTATTTTATATGACCTCAAGTTAAGAATAAGAAATAGTATTATTCATTAATTTTACCCCTAAAAAACAAATGAGCCCAAAAATATTCCCTGAATTACAAAAATCCTAGTTCTTTTCCACCCTTGATTCAAAATTAATGTGAAAATAAACTTTAATCTCAAACATTTTTAAAATTTGCTTTAAAATTTTTTAAACATCTAAGAGACTTCGGAATTTTGTTTAAAATAATCCCGCAAAGGCCCAACGCACGTCTCAAGTCTGCCCATGCCTTCAGAGAGCCGTGGAGAACGCGGATGTCCATCCAAGGCTCGAATCTAACTGCAGCGCCGTAGGAAGAAGATAAGAAGTTGGCGGCCCTGCGAAGCGATGGCGATCTTCAGCTAATGAGAAGACGCCGGACGGGCGCCAGAAAAAGAAGACGAGCGCTCCGCGAGAAAGTTTACCCCTAATATCATCTGACCCGATAAATGGAGCCCATTACGACGTGTGGTCTGGCCGGCGCGTCTGCCGCTGATGCATGTGTTTACTGATGGGCCATCAATCGCTTACAAGGAGAAAAAGAAGAAGATGAGATTTTCAGAAGACTGTCATCACCACGTTTTTGATCGTTCAAAATTGAGGCATCAACGACAACAGACAGCTTGGTAGAGAGAAACGGTTAAAATTCGAAACTTCTATTTAGATTATCTGAGAGTGTGTGAAGGAAATAGCTGTGAAATGAAATGTTTCAGTTTTCTTAATCAACGAGTTCTAAGATTCAGATTCTCAATCGATGCAAATTTAAACCTAATGGTTTTCAACAAAAGTAGGTTGACATAGGATATCAAGATCTGGCCGACTGGAAGAATCCTTCACCTTAAATTTTCCAGATCTGTCTTGAAACTTGGAGAACCATCGAAATGATCACAAATGAGAACCATCACAATCTGTCAACGTCCGACACTATGCACCGATTACACACTTTAAAACAACTGAGAGGCAATAAACGGAACGCACTGAAAACCTAAGCTCTGTTGAAGAGAAAAAGGATAAGACGACAAACGAAGGCGGAGAAGACGGAAAAGGAGAAGGAGAAAAATGAAGAGAAGGAAAAAGATGAGGGGAGAGAGGAGGAAGAGAAGGAGAATAAGAAGGCGAAATAGAAGTAGAAAGAGTAGAAGGAAGAAAAGTAGAAAGAAATGGAAAAGTGGCAGAGTAGTAGGAAGAAGAAATGGAATGAGATTTTAGCCTAAATTAAACTGAACTATAAAAACTATTTATATCACTACTCTATCTGTATCCAAGAGTATAAAAAAGGACAAACAAACCCCACACAAATTCACGTTCTCAGCTCGCCAAAAACTGTTCCCTTCCTGGACTATGACCTTCACATATGTGTAATGGTACAAAGTCCAAGGACAAGATGTTGGAAACTAAACACACATCCTCGAAGCGCGTCTTTTCAGTCCTCGTTCATGCGGTATTCTGACCATTAGCCCACTGACTTCCAAAAAAAGATACTCCAAACTCATGTACGAGAGATGGTTGCAATATGTAATGGTAAGTTCCAGAACAATTAAAATGTTCTTCGATGTGTTGATTCCTTACATAAGCAAAGTGAAACCCTTTTTAGTTTAGTTTACTATTGTTGCATCATAGTGAATTATGATACAAAACAATATATAATGTGCTCTTACCGCAATATAATATTCCGCATTGAACAATTTAAACATTTTCACAAATACTTACCCCATTCAACTATTTCATTGTGTGATGAAGAATTAGATAATACTATAGAACTATAAATGTAAACAAAATACTTGCACAACCCGAATAATTTTAACATTTATCATTTTCATGTATTGTACCATCGGTTAAGTAGCAAAATTATATGGTAGCAATGCTTTTTGACAATTTTCAATATTTAAGATTTATTTCTGCAACAGACAAGGCTAACTGCACATATTTTAGAACCCTCTTGAAATCTGCAATTCTGTAATTCCAGTTCCAGATGTAGACGAGCCCAAACGACATGCATTATTCAAGGGCGGGTGATCTCGGACATTGTGGATAGCATGCATTTTTTCTTGTTTAGTAAATTGTCGGCTTCTACTAACATTATACAATAGCTAGGAAAATTAATCAACTCCTCTGACTTCAGATCTTTTCCGTATGTCGATGTTCAATTACCTGAATCTTAGGAATCGACCCCTTGGAATTTATTAGTATTCTGAAAGAGGAATGAATGAACAGATAAACCAGGCAAAACTACCAATGCCTCTCTTTTCATATTAGCATTGTATTAATAACTTCTGTCATAGGTTCTAGAACCATGAACACCACATTCAAATAAAATATTATAAATTTCTTGTCGAAATATTAGAATTTCAGTGTAACATTAACCACTACATTTGAGTATTCAAGTTCTGTGGTGCAATGAATGTTTACAAAATTAATCAGACCTTACATTATAAGCAAGGTCATTAATACCAAATATATTCTAAATAATTGCAGAATACTTATGTAACTTCTGTGATAATCCTATCAATACATTCGACTTCAAAACAAATTATTGAAGGTTTTTTGTAATAGGGATATCTTCAAATAGAAAATCATTATTTCATTACAATGAATGGAGGACATTTTCACAAAATTCAGCTTCACTTGTCTGTTTTCTTGAATACAAGTTTAAATAGAATACGCAAACATATTAATTAGTTTTACGATCAATCACCAGAGATCATAATAGGTAAATGTTACACATATGTAAATGTAATGCAGAAAGTTCTTAGTTCCCCTACAGACTTTTTCTTTATTCACAGACCAAAAAGTTGGAGTTCAAAAAACGATATTGACCGCGAATATATTCAGATCCATATTTTATTAACTTTGTGGCTACTCGCAACTAGCAAGGACATTTCATAAACGATATGCATACTTTTGAGGTTAAAGAACTCTTTCTCATTCAGAATCACACCAGCGATCTTTATACTAGAAGCATGTAATCACCTGTTTGTTGACAGACAATCATTTCGAAACGAGATCGGTATCCAAATTGATGAAATTTGGGCAGCGGGATGGGGAGAAAGTTACTGAATAAAGTTACAAGGAAGTTACAAGTTCCAATAATAATGGATAAGCATTTGTTAACCAGCAATGCTACACAAAAGAAGCTGACACAACAAACACTAAAAGAAAATGACATATTGACAATCTATCTTTATACAGATGTTTCCTTGTATTAGTGTCAAAATTGGTATCAGATACAAACATGAGTATTGCCTTTATGTCCAAATGCATCAAAGACTATTCATAATCGATGTAGAAATGTCTTGGGATGACCGATTTGCATTTTTAAATTGGTTCTTTATCTACAAAACGTCTCAATACATATTTGACCAGTTTGCGATGCATGAAGCATGCTGACCACACTCCGACAATTCCAATGGCTGTGACTCCATTACATATCCGTGGTGGCACACGCCAAGATTAATCGGACGTCACTCGCTTCAATACTAAGTCGGTGGAGTGTCGCGCGATGTGAATCTCCAAGTAACTATTTAACTCCTCCCAATGTGAACATACGATATACGATATCCCAGAACGCAATTGAAGCTGTCCTATAAACAGATTAATTGGCTTGCTCCCAAAGTACAGTTCAGTAAAATCTTAAGTGCACGTAAATTAAATTAAGCGAAATCAAAAATCTTTAATAAAATATATAATAAGAGATTTACCCTGATAAAAAATCTGGAATCACCTAACAATGAGTGATGCTAATTGATGGTTTTATGTTGTTAATATTTTCACACACACTTCACCTCAGAAATCTTTTATAAAATTTTTATACGTGCTAATTTAAGTAACATAACGTAATTTCAGGTTAGGTATACATTGGTATTCACTGGAAATGCCTTGTTTTTAATTAAACAAAGAATTATAAATAACTGGATCGTATTTTCCGTACTACTCGTGAATTTGAGGCTTTCCATTAACTGTTAAGCAAATTATGCTGATAGTTTCACGAATATAATTCAACGTCTATGGTACTGAACTATTCTACATTGCAGAAAATTGTTCCGACGCAGACCACAGTTTGTCAATATACACGTAACGAACATAGGGGCGGTTCCAGCCCATCACTTTGGACAAGACCATCATAAAATTGTATTAAATAATAAATATTTGTTATTACATTGTATATTATTTATGTAGTGCATATATGATACTATACAATATTATTTGTTAAATAATTACATAATTCTAATAAAGATATTTAAATCAATTTTGCCAATTAAAGGAAGGAAACAAACGAAAACTGTAGGGCTTTTGGGAGGGCACGGCCCCCACGCCCGCCCTCCCACCAGGATCCGCCCACTTGACGAACACCACCCAGTTTGTTATGATTTCGTAAAACAGTGGTTCACGGACGGGATGAGAAACCTTACCTGCCCTACATCTCCCCGCGGCAAGGCTGCTCTCCTCCGCCTCCGCCGCCGCCTCCTCCGCCGCGTCGCTCTCGGAATCCAGCAGACGTCCCTGGAGACTTCACCTCACGAACAGACACTGAACCCCACGGCGATCGCACACGCTCTCTCACAAACCGCCTTCCTCTGCGGTGGGAATCACACTCCGCAAGCGACAAGCCGACGGAGACGTCGTCACCACACACAACAAACACAAGCACCAACACACATCAGCGGCAGCACCAACTCACATCACCAGCACATCACACGCCCGCGGTGGTGGTGGCGGCGGCGGCGGGCTCACGGCCGGGCGGGACGCAACACAGCCCGGGCGCCTGCGCGACGCGTCGCGACTTGCTCGCACTGGCGCGCGGCGAGGCGCGGGGACCGGCCGGCGGCGCGCCATGTTGGCGCGTCACTCGGGGCCGGCAATGGGAGCGCGGCGGGCGCGCCTGTGGATGCCGACCCCGACCCGCCCGCGCTCCCCGCCACCGCGCGACCCCGCCCCGCCGCACCGCCGCCGCCGCCGCCGCCACCGTCACCGTCGGACGGTGGGAGGGTGTGACGGTCCAGGAGGACGTGCGGGCGATAACAACTTGCTCCACGGTTACTTGCGCGTCGTCGGTGGGAATCTAGAGCAAGACTTCTACATTGCGGGAGGCGCGAGATGCTATAGAAGCGGACCGGGAAAGGTGGTGCAGGACATCAACTGATGTCACTGCAGTGCCTCTGACCGGGAGGTTCTTGGTTCGGGTCCCAATGGTGGCAGGATATTCGATACTAGCTTGTCAGCCAGGTCGCATTCAGACCCTGGCTAGAAACCGGCTGCTCTGATCGGTACTTTTCCGTGGTTTCTCCAATCAACACCAGGCAAATGCCGGAGCAGTAACCAATCAAACGGACCACCAGCCGCACGCGATATTTCCTTCCTCTTCCTTGTCATATCTTCGTCCCTTACACACACACACACACACACACACACACACACACACACACACTACCAAACATGCCGGGAGACCAATCAGGAGCTTAGAGCTTGTCTCGGCTGGGGCGGTGCACCGCTAGTGGGAGATACCTGGTTGCGCAGATGAAGAAGCGAGAAATACTAAAGGGACCCGCATACATTCGGGATAAGTAACAGGTTTATCCGTCCGGGTTTGATTAGCCGTCGCATAAATTCGCTCACAGACGCGATTGGCCCGTCCGGGTTTGCGCTTTTCGTGAAGAAAAAAAAGATCCCCCAAAGATGCCCATAGGCGCTACGTTTTACCCGTATGGTGTTTGCACGATTTATGTTTTCACCTATGCTGTGTCAATCCACCCCCACCACTCCAGCCCGCGCTTTTGCCATCTTTGTCCAGGCGATGGTACAGGTGAGGTACGGTACACGTCCAGGCGACGGCACGTCGCAATACGGCGGGTGGTCACTGTGTCGATGATAACTTGTTCGACGCCGGTCACCACTTACTTGCTCCGCGGCGGGACCTATACAAGACGTCTTCTCTGCAGGGCTTGGGAGAGGCTACGCTAAAAAATCTGCAGAGAACTAGAGAAATATTGGACGGGTGTATAAACATTGGAGATACGTGACAAGTTTACCGCACTGATTTCACGTACCTCGTGTTTAACAGTATCACGAAGGTGCCCATGGTCGCCCAGTATAAGGGGGTGAGTAGTAGCAGTTTTAAACGTTTGCGCTTCTCGTGTTGAATTGTACCCCAACGGCGTTCACAGTCGCCTAGTTTTAAGAGGTTCATACACGATCGGAATCAGGTCCGGCGAAACATATACATTTCAGGTGGGTAGAACCGTGTGTAGGGGGTCATATAATTTTTTGGATCGTATTTAAGTTTTCTTTCAGAAAACATAACAACAGTGTACAATATGTAGTTTACTCAATATGTTTAGTTAATAATTTATACTTTTTTCTATATACATATGTTTTACTTACCAGAAACAGAAGGGATCACTCTACTTCCGTTTTTAAACTGTCTGGGTTTTCACTAGTATTTTTCAAGGTGAAGTCTGATGTACTCGCTGGCTGTACCGTGCGTACTCCTTCGCGCATGACTGAATGATTCTTCAGTTTTGTCATTCCCTCGTTTACCTTGGAACCCTCGAACAATAAACCGGTCCAATATCGGTTCTTTTGGATACAATGGGACACAGCCAGCTCGCCATAAACATAATGCATGAGTCCATAACTTCTCATAGCGCGCGACGTTTGAATAAATGTGTTAAATTGGATTTTTTTCAATTTTGGTACACATTTCGGGTAGGTAATTACCTATCTGGAATAGTTTCGCGTAGGTAGTTCTACCTTCATTACAGATTCATCCGTCCGTGTTTGCGCGACCTATGTTAAACCGTATCCCGTGGGCGTCCTCAGGCATCTAGGTTTAAGGACTTCATTCATGATGGGTGTACACAGACGCGCGGTTTTAAGGGATTCATACACGATCGAGGTACGTGACAGTTCTGTCCGTTCGGGTTTTGCGCTTCTTCCGTTTACCCGTGCCTCGAAGGCGTTCATAGACACCCAGATTTTATCCGTCCGGGTTTCTTGTACTAAACGGAACAACTGACACACACAGATTGAACAAAACCATCCGGTACAGGTTTACGCTCTCAATTTTCATGTTATGGTCAACCTTTATCCTGAAGAAAATCGATAGCCAACGAATTTCATTCGTGATAATTTTACATGCGGGATTATTATCACAGCCTATAGTTACACGCACAGACAATTGAATTAATGACAAGCATTTCATTATCATTTGGAACGGACCGGGGGATTCGACATAAGCAGTGGACAGTCAGTTACAACTTGTTCACCAGGTGTTGAAGTTATTAGTGCGAGTTAGAAAAGGCTCTTTGCCTTACTTGGCCTTTCCAACGACTGCCATAAAACTCAATGGAAACAGCACCGAACGGCAAATGAAAATTAAAAGCCAAGTCATATACAGAATATTAGAAGGACTAGTCAGAAAACGATCGCGTCAGGATAATGTGGCAACTATAAAACGAATTAAAATAATGTTCTTGACGGAAATGTTGAATTAAGATCTAATTCCCGAGAAAGCTCTTCAGTCTTTCAAGAAACAATAATCAACCTGCATTCGGGTTCCTAATTTTGTAAAGAGAGAAACTACGGTTAAGAGAACGTTAGAGAATTAAATGAATGTAGTTCAAATGTACACTTATCATTAACATCAGCACACATCGTATTTTATTCTCTCTTTATCCTCCATAAATAGTTGAAACATGTTTGAAACAATGAAAATCCTAACGACCATAAATATAATGAAGGCTGGTTCGTGGGGATTAATCAGTGAAAAGAATGAGACTATTTGGATGTTTGCCAACGGAAACAGAATATATTTCCTTTATCGCGGCTACACTGTACGGAAGATCAAACACGCACAATAACCCGTTGATTAACCACTTAAGTCCACTGTTTCTCATAAATATCTGTAAAACCATGGAAAGTATATGATAAAATGTAAGTAAAATACCTTTACAAAAATAAAAAATAAAGAACTGGAGATACATAACATACGTGATGTGAGGAATATTTGTAAAGGATACCAAGCCAGTGTTCACACCAACACATACCATGCTTGCAAATGGTAAAGCGTTAGGAGGGGAAGAAACGCTAATGACTAGATAAATAAACACACTTCCGGTAACAATAATTTGAATAAATGAAAGCCAACATTACAAAAGTTGTTTTACTTTACAACTACTTTCAATTAGAAACTTACTTTCTATTTTTCAAAAGGCTGTTCAGGAAGTATTTTGGTTTACCTACATCTTATATGCGAAGAGAAAACTATGTACCCCTTTTTAAGCACATTGCGCGCACGGAGGAATGCTAGATTTGGCAAACTTAATTTTCATGTGGAGAAAGATTGCAGAAAGCAAAAATGTATGTATAATATGTGTTGCAAACATATAAAATTAAATAAAATAATATATTGTACAGATGCAACCCGCAACACGCTGCAACACAAAACTAATGTATATCATACAGAACTCGGAAACGATGCGTTTTAGAGCCCTAAACCCTGGTTTTCGTGTCCTCTAGGGAAACATGACTCTTGTTTTCAATGCTATAATCTACAAAATGAGACATTTATAAACGTTTTATTTCGTGCTTAGCGTTAAAGAGAAAAATACTTCCCTTCATGTTTGCATTTGAATACGCCAAAAGCATATTATTAATAATAGACTTAATAATTGCAATAATAATGTTATCACGTGGACGCTATTAGTTTCTTACAAACGTTCGTAGTGATGTTATTTTTTCACTTAACATAACATTTTACATAAACGAAGGTATATTAAAACGTTATATTTGACTTCCGAAGAACTTTGCTCTGTTGGCGGTTGAGGTAACGAGACAGGTTTTCGTATATTTCTCGGTCAGTGAGAATAGTGAAAAGCACATTGATCCTTCTGTTTTCATAGGTTATCACATTCCATAGGTATCGAAGTCAATTAAGGCAAACAACACATGTTAATGACGTATTTGTACAGGCTCGCAGTCGACATAATAGAACAAAATATATTTTGACAAAAAACTCAAAAACTTTAAAAAATAAAAATGTAATGGATTACAGTCGAATTTAGACCACTAGATGACCACTTGTAGTCACTAACAGACCTTTTACCTAACACTTTACCAGTATCAAACACAGTGTGTTGGTGAGGTGTTCCTTTACAAATGTTCCTCACATCACGTGTAGTGGACCGCCCGCCAGAAAATGTAGCTCCAGTTGTTGTTGTTTTTTTTCATTTATTTATTTTTGCAAGGGTATTATATTCATATTTCTTTCTTTTTATGGTTTAACATATATTGTATGAGCAAGAGAGGGCCTAAGTGGTTAATCAACACGTCGTTATTGTGTGTTTTTGATCTTGTACATTATAGCCGTGATAATAGAAATATATTTTTCGAGTTTTTGGCGAACAACCAAATAGTCTAATTCTTTTCACTGACCAAGCTCCGTGAACTAGACGTCATGGAATTTGTTTATGCAAAAATACAACATGGCGCTATAGATCGTAGTGCAAATGAGTGAGCTATGAAGAGATCCGTGAGAATAGTATGCAATTCCGGAATCATATAGGAAGCGTTAATAACAAGGAGGCTCGTGGCTAGCACTTGGTCAGCGAGCTCGCTTTCCGCTACGATTTTGATTCCCGGTCGAGCCAAGCCTATAGTGTGCTTTTTCCTTGCAATGTCTCAATGTATGTTGCTGTGTGACAACGAGAAAATTCACTTCTCAAATTGAGAAGATCGGAATACTGCTTGGGAATGTCTACGAGCTAACCACACATGCCCTCTTAACCCATGGCCGCGAGGCAGGGACGTCGCCGTTAGGCCTTAGCCCGTTCACGGGCTGTCTCGCCAAGTACATACATACAAGGAAGGCCTCCCCTTTGTTCATAAGAACCGAGATCAGGGAAGAGCGTTCGCAATAGCAGATAAAGGCGATGGTTAAGAAGGTCCTTATCTCGCAGCGCTCTTGCGGGCAGAAGATACGCTTTTTAATCCTAGGATGCAATCTTAGGATGCTTCTGAGACCCTAAAGATTTTTATGTAGCTTTGCACAGCTGCATTTCTGAGAGCTTCCCCTCCGTCTAATCTTTCTTCTATATCTCTACTTTCATTTTAGTCACTAACAAAGGAAAAGTTCTCAGAAGTTGTATAGGTAGGTCCTGAAATTTGATTATATTTGATCAATACATATGCAGGGCCCTATTTAAACAATCATTATTTGAACATTAAGAGTTGATATTTATTGTTTTTTGAAGAAAAGCAGTTATTAAGAATAAAAGAAAAATGTATGCGCAATTTTTGAGAGCGTATAGCGCAGGGCCTCAGAGATCCTGCATATAGTACATTCATGTAGTTTCCTGCGCCCTTGCGTCCTAGGGTTAATGGAGTCCTATGGCCCAAGCGGAGTAGTTCTTCCCTTTAACTTTTATTTAGAAACAACTCTTTCAAACACTTCACTAGCATTTTTTCAAATTATTTATTTTTAACGTTCTAACCCTAATTGGGATCTTTAAAAAAAAACTTAAAAAATAAATAATTTGAAAATGGTACTAAAGTGTCTGGGTTTTTGTTTTCCAGAGAAATGTAGGAATACTTTTACTACAATAACAAGACAACAGTTAACATAATCCTTAAAACAAGTATTTCAACTAGATCAACGCCTCACAGGGCTCTTCGTCCACACATGAATCATGTCACACTCCGGGATGGAAGTGTAAGTTTACACCGGAACAGGCTCGCGGAAGCACGGGAGAACAAGCAAACCGAACCGTTTAGTGTGTTGTGTGTGTGTGTGGGGGGGGGGTGTTTCGTTTTTTTTCACGATGGCAGGGGAAAATCTTCTAAAGACACAGCGGAGCCCGCACTCCGCGGCGTGTGGGATTCACAGCTAGCCTGTGCCTTACCCACTAAAAATCCCTCCCATTCCTCCGATTCCCTTCCAGAGAAACCGCCGTCAGGCATTGCATCACGGGAAGGACAGATCGGCTTATCGCTCTACGCCAACTGACACACACAACTCTGTGCGTGTGTGACTATCTATCTCGTGTAAATGCAAGCCAGCGCATTTCACCTAATTTGTTGCATAATATTTAAAGTATTTTTTGTTGTTATTTAAGGTCGCAACAACATGTAGGTCATTAGCGAACACTATTGGATCTAACGTTATGAAGATGACATGACATGGTGATGATAGGGCGTGAAAGGACGAACACAAATACAACCATGCGGGACTCAAACCCACGATCCTTCAGTTCGAGATCGCTGCGACACAACTGCCTTAACAATCTCGGTCATCTGGACGACTACGATCTGCATCACTATCTAGGGATGTGACAATGATGTCGCTGTTTTCAAAACATCGAGTTTTTAAATATCGATGTATTGAAGCCGATGTTTAACATCGACGTTTTGAGCTCGAAGTTTTACGTTTTCGATGTTTTGTTCGTAGATGAAAATTCCCATAATCATAATTTTCTAAAAATTAAAATACGAAATAATAACTTGTGGTAACACTGCCAGTTTGTGTTCAAACCAAACAAACGCGCTTTCTACTATCTTCATCGCGCAGACTACCTCTTACCCGAGATTATCCTGATGTTCTGGTATTTCCTTCGTTTTTACCCGTTTTCGCAGAGAGAGGCGTTTTCTAACTTTTTCAGTTAAATTTTAAATATAAATTAACGGCCTCGTCAAATTAAATTTTGTTGCGTATGAATTTAATGTTAGAGGTTACTAAACGAGCTTTAAAAGATCGATGTTTAAATACATCAATGGTTTTTAGTCGATGTATTATTAACAAAGATGTTTTCATTTTGAACTTCCTAAGTGTCCATGTATTTTATACAATACATGCACACCTTTTGCCAGAAAGACAAAATGTTTTTGCTTTTGCAATAAATTGGTGAAATTTACGATTCATGTATCCCATTTTGTGTAATTAGTCTAATTTTGCTGCCATTTTTTTATTTTAATGTAAATTCCTTAGTTACGATCTGGTTTCTCGTGAGAGTATGTATGTACGTAAGCAGAAAAGATAAAATAATAATACAGTTATTAATAATTTGGTCCGGTTTATCTTTTACTACCCAATATTCACAATTAAATATTACATAATATTTTCTTGAGTCGCATCAAAAAATGTTCTTAACAAATACAGTACTATTGTTTGTCATCAGTTTCTGAGAAGAAAACAAATTTATATTTTCCCATCCCTACGAAAAAATCACAACTGAATAATGGAATGAATTGTTATATAAGGGTCCCTCACACGAGGAACGGTCCAAGGCCTTCGCAAAGATTAATCCGCCCCTTGCCACAATCATTAAACTGGAACTAGCTTCAATATTAGGTATGCATATTTGCTAGCGCATTAGACTGCTGCAAGTGACGTTATGCTTGAGAATAAATTATCATAATGAATGAATGTACTCCGCCGGCAAATGTTTAACTATGCTCCAGAATTCTAGGAATGTGCCGGTGTTTTGAGATATAAAACGGCCAAACACGTGACAGAAAGATATTCCTATCAAACACTGGCTTGGAAAGCGAGAAGCATGTCGGCTCATCTTGGATGTCACTATTGTAAGGATGACACTAACTGAACATTTTTATTTAGAATTAAAAGTCAAATTATATAAGTTGAATATTTCAAGTTAATTTTACTTTTTTTTTTAGATTTTTCTACTTGTTATTATCGCGGAAGAAGACTAAATTCCTAATTTGGAATGAAAATTGACATTAAATTTCTTCAGTCATAATCTCTAACCATTAACTTTATTATTATAAATGCTAATTTTTATAAACATACAACATTTTACTCGTGATCCCGTAAACAGAAGTCATCACAGTCTTTAAATGTTTTCCCAATTGATCGTACAATACGATTACACATCTGCATAACCAACTGATGAACATAACACATGAATACTAACTAACACATGAATACGGGCTACAATACTTTTAAAAAATCTGAAGTTTTCGCGCAACGGAACCATTAACCTTTAGTTACTCGTGCTGGTGTAAGACGGTGGAACTCTTATCAAGAATCAACCCTCCCTCCTGCCATCCTCTTTTCTTGCTTGTGTGAATGTATTTTGTTTATACGGCTTAAATGTGAGTGTGAATAAAAAACGAGAAGAAAGAACACTCAAAAGAACTTGTAACAACCATTTTAAGAACTAAATATAAAAGTAAGAAATGCCCAGAGAGGCATTTGTAAATAATTTTATTTAAATTAAGTTAGTATTAATTAGTATATTTAAGATAGACTCTGCCCTGGATGCATCAGCTTAAACAGCTGAAGCTTGAGTATCCCGAATACTGAAAAAATTCCCGCCTCTCCAGGGCTACTGGAGAGGGGACAGCAAAAAAAGGTGGATTTAGGTACTGGACCTCCCTTCCCCTTCGAAAAAAAAAGTCTTTCAGATTTACTAAATGACATTTGTGGGAATTTGATGAGGAGTTGTTGACAATATTAAAGGACGAAATAACTGAAATCAATTTTAGTCACTTAGATTTATGCGTAGCTTCCGACGGTTCAGCCGTTATCATCAGTCTCGCTACATCGCTTGTGGGCTGCAGAAGTGGCACAACTCAAACAAAATACGAATTTTGAGTTAATGTACTCTCCAGAATTGCAAATCGGTCAACCTACCAGCAGCGTATCTTACAGTACAGTATTCCAACAAATGGGAGAAACGTCAATGCAAGATTGATGCATTTCAATTCAAGGTGAAAACTTCACAAAATGTATTTTATAAACTTGCTGTATTAAAAAAAATCAATTACTGTATAAGTCGTTCACGACGGCAAAAATTAAAATTGAAACTTTTCTCGGAAAAGCTAAAGCGTTTTCAGACTCACTAACAGGTTTAGAAAATCAAAATGTATGGAACATGCCTTTTTTTTCTTTTTCTGGAAGATGTTGCTTCATCAATGGACCAAAATGAAGCACCCATAGAGTGTTTTTAGATCTTACGAAAGCTTTTGACGTTATTGACCATAACATCTTGCTATCAAAATTAACATATGTAAAAAAAAATTTTAAAAAGTTAAAAACTGTGTGACGTGTGCTGATGATCTTCTCCCCCATACATCACATAGTTTTTAGTGTTTTTTGACTAAATAAATCTAAATCTAAATCCATTGCTCAAGGAAATTCTAGTTGAACTCAAATGGAATGAAAAATATAAATTAATTTGGAAGCTTATGCAAATAAAGTTTGACTCACTGAAATCCACTTCTGAAAGGACACCTGGGAACTGTCTTCTGAGAGGCACAGAAAAATTAAACAATTTTAAAATTTAAAGATATTGTATATTTGAAATTGAGCAACAGAAAGCACCATGGAACATCCAACAGTCATTAACAACACCAATGCAGATAATTTACTTCAAACAATACAGGATACTGACCATATTGTATATGACAATCAACAATGATGTGAACAACAACAACAACACATTAATTGCACAAAGGTAACACAAGTAAAACATTCAGTAACTCAGGAGCAATTTTATTTATTTGCATTCCACAGAATTTTTTTTTTTTTGTTTCATTTAATTTTTTTCTTTACTTACGTTTAAAATACCACACTTTGTTTTATTTTCAAAACCATATATTCAATATAATGGCAAATTTAATAAAAATTAAGGCAACACATACATTCATCTAAAGGCCAGGCTGAAAAGATGGTTATAACATCTATATATTGTGTATCACTTAAGATATAATGAAATGGAATATGTATAGTGATCATATCATCCCTCATATAACAAGGATTTATAAAGAAACAAAAAATCACAAAGGATTTCATCTAGGAAAAAGCATTAATCAAGAATTTTCAGAAAAAAACATTTAAATCTTAAAAGAAACATTCTAAAACTTTGCCACCAGTATTTTTTAACATAGCAGTTTTTAACACAATTAAGTCACTCAACAGTTCTACACCTTTTTTCTCCTGAATATCAATGATAATGCAATTGTGAAAGTATTTAATCTACATAATTTACGTAAACTGAAAGAATAATCATAACAACTACTAACTTTTCTTAACCATTGATATATGTCATTGAAAATGCAATAGCACAATCTGGAGAGCACAATACATCACATTCTCTAATACGTCATTGTATAAAATAAAAATAGTTCACAACTTCAATTCCCCCATTTTAAAAATAGTTATATGTTAACCATCAGTAGCAAATGATATATCAAATCAGTATGTTCAATATCAAGTTAAACAACATTCAAAAGATTCAATTAATATTCATGTATAAAAGAAAAAGAAATAGAAGCATATATAAATAAATAAATTAATACAAAATTAATATAAAATATAGATATGTAAAGTTGTGTATTAAAAATATATATTTCAATTACTTTTTATCATTTTTAACCCTTTTCATTCTACATCACACTCTTTAGATTTCATTAGCACACATTTACATCACTTATATTCAAGACATATGTCCATACATATAAACATACACTATTTGATAATTTAACAGCTATTATGAATACTCAATTAAACACACTTCTCATAAATAACATGATATATAGTATTAGCTATCTTCTCTAACAACCATCACTATGACTAAGTTCAAGTTTTAATTGAAGGGTTGGGATATAAAAAATTATTAACAAATACTGAATACACAACATTAGCACATTAGCATAGGCCCTTTTTGGACATTTATTGTCAATCTAATAAATAATTAAAATTATTCAATATATTGGTAATAGACATAGGTACATGTTTATTGCATCAAAAATGATCTCAAAAATTAATATATCAAAAAGGTTTTTACTGCTGAGAGATCTAAGGAAAACTTCCTTCATAGAATTTTATCCAAGCCTCAGTTTTACATGTAATTTCCAGAAACTAATAATTAATATCTTACAAAGGCACTCTAACTTACGAATGAATGTTCTACACAAACCAAAACTGCACAAATACTACATATATAATTAATACCAGATGACTTTAACAATTTAAAGTGTTAGACAAGTTCAAATGCAAAGTAAAATCTTTTCTGCTGTGTAAATGTTTGAATACAATTAAGAGACTATACAGAGTATCAAACATGACAATAAAATTAAATAACAATAATAAAATTCTAATAACAATATTATTTCTAGGGACAAAGTGTGTCCATTTTGTGCAGTCATTGCTAGAGCTGCTCAGAGTCTCTCTGAAGCAACACACACTGGTTCCAACTGCCGAAACCCTGGCCAAAATACAAAGATTTAGCTTAATTTCCTTGAAAATTTGTATGCAATGGCTCCAGAGGTCACAGATAAAGAATATGAAACTACTTTTGTAAATACAAATTCTCAAAGATAAAGACTAGAACCAAGAATACTTTGGAGGATGATGTGTGTTTGAAAAGGATTCCTTCTTACTAGGCTTTTAAAAAGAAAAAAAAATTAATTACTCAGGGTAATGAGAAGTAAAGCTGAGAAGATCCAAAAAGCATTCATGTAGAAGATAACGTGTTTGATTTTGTCAGCAAGTTCTGTAATCTGAAGTAAAATAAATAAAGATATAAGAACTGCAATAATTTGCTATGAAGGTGTTTAAGCTCTCACTATGTCTAATATCTTTTACCCTAATATCATTATTTTCAGTAAACATTATGCACAAGTCATGTGTATTCACACTTTATAAAACCTAAATATCAATAAGAATTTTACTGTCAGAGCATGATCCTTCATAAATACATGTACCCACTACAAACATTTAATATTTTACATGTTCTTCTGATCATATTGCTGCTCATACTCCAACCCTTCAATTGTAAATAATTTCACTCTAAAACAAATTTATTACTACATCAAAGGTACCAACTGAGCCATCCTAACAAATTAAGGATTTCAAATCTTCAATTCAATTTAAAGTATTTTTTTTAGGATTTTCACTCACATAACTAACTTTACTCTACCTAACATGACATTTCAAAATACAGCCCTAAGAACACACATGTAAACACATGAATGTTAAGTCACAATTTAATCATAATGAGCACATGAATAAAGTAGTATTAAAAGAATAACCATTCTAAAATCATCAACCAAACAATTTACTTGCTAATGGTTAAGGGTCACAGCCATTTATTACATTTATAACAATGGAAATATCTCAGACAATTAAAAGACGGCAAAAATAACTTTTTGAAATTGTAGAATTTAAGCTTAAACCAAATTTTAAAAAAGTGGTTATGACATGTTAATGAACTGAAAAGATTTGAAATCCACTTCAAAACTTAAGCAATTGGTTCGACTTTATTTAGATAAATGCTTTTCATTTCTATGCACGATATTTGTAATAGGGAAAAATAGATACATAAATGAAAGTAAACAAGCCAAAGAAATTTTCACTTTAATTCTTGTTCAAAATGGTGATTTAGAATAAAGTCAAACAGTCTAATTTAGATGTTGAAAAATGGATGAAGGGCCTGGAAACAGGCATATCAAAATCATAGATAATAATACACATGTATCTTTTAATGTCAACAAGTTCAAAAAGAATTCAATCAGAATAGAATACGAAATTAGGAAGCATCACATACGGCATGTAATACAAAACTTCTGAGTTTTGTTATGACTTAAAGATCAAAAGAGTTTTCTTCACTCTCCTTGCCAAAAGATAAAAGAGAGAAGTAATTCAGAAAAGATTAAAAACAGTTATGATAAAACTAATTAACTGTTATAAAATGACACAATACGACAAGTGAGTTACTAGAAATAGTTCTAGTTTATAACAATTTGTCTACATTCTATTTAATCTGTTCAATAACAAAGATTGCCGCCTTTTTAGAAGTACTACTGGGTTTGACACACAAAATAACTGACACAACATGAAATACACTTAACATTTCAATTTTTTAGAAAACAAAAATGATTTATACAGATTTTTTATTTTTATTTTTAGTCCTATTTCTTTTAAAGATATTTTTATGGCAGTGATAGATATGTGTTAAAGACTACGTAAAAATGCTAAAACAGGTTACTTTCAAAAATTTGCAGAGCTTTATCTAAATTAAAATTGAAATTCTATGAAAAGACAGATAAATAGTAGATGAGCAATAATGGTTATTATTGACATAATCGATGTCAATCAAAATCAACACGTATCTTGGAAAGGATAATTCCACACAATTTTCATGGAAGTTTTACATTTGTATACTAAGAATAGGAATGTAAGCTGTTGAAAGTACCAAAAAGTTAGCAAAACATCCAAACTATTTATATCTATCTACTGCCATCATTACCCTGTATCTATTCAGCAACTTCTTTCGAGCACCAAACTAAAAATAATCAATTATCAGCACTTTTGACTAGCAATACTTAATAATATTGAAAATTCCATTTTAAAACACAATGTAAATGCATTTTCATTACATATCATCCAAAAGCAAGTCAACATGTCTCACTGAGCTTCAAAAATATTAATTCCTTCCACCTATATTTTCTGTATAATATTGTCTCAATTCTCTTTAGGTTTTTCCACTTCAGTCTAATTTTTAGTAAGTGTTTTGAGCAGATATAAAGATAATACTCTGGTTTGCTTTTAAGCACAATAAATCATTTCAAGTGCAATAAATTGTCTCCCACTCGATCCCACATCACATGAAATGCAATTAAATCTTTAATAATTTATCATAATCAATACTAATTATGTATGCTTTTTTGAAACTAATAACAAAACAACTTTGCATACACACAATGTAATTTAATTACATTTCTAAAATTAGTACCATCAGTAATTGGTTTCAAATCTATAATTTCACATCAGCTCTGTGAAGCAGGAACAAATAAAACTTCGTTTAAAAACATACAAGACAATAGGAACAAATTTGAACTAACCTTTGAAGAAAAATAATACAAGAAGAAAAAACAACATACTCTTTCATTTTTGTAAGGCTATTCAACAAGTGTTAACACAATCAAAAGCTACAGTGTTCAACACAAATTTTGAGTTGTGTTTCTAACACAACAAAAATTGACATCTTAAATTTCATTACAAGTATGTCTCCTGAAGTTCTATTCAAAATTTCAAATAATTTAAATAGGAAACAAAAATATGAAAACTGACATATTGCACGTTTTCTTTGATACATGATTAGGGAGGAGTAAATCTCACACCTGTTATCCCTGACATATCAACAGCATCAGACCTCAAAGATATTGGAAGATGTTGGAGGCTCAGATTGTAATAAATAACAGCCATCAAGCTGAGGGTGCGCAAACTAGGGGAAAAATCTAGGACATGGAAATCCAAGCAACCAAACATCTCAAAGTTATTAACTATTCCACCAAATAGGAATAGCCTGTCTTCACAAACAATACAAGAAGATAGATGTCGTGGACGTGGGGCATCTCCTGCAGGTTTTACTACCTCCCACTTCTTTGTTGCTGGAGAAAACCGACACAAATCATTACAGTTTGTCTTGGAAAGTCTGCAACGACCACCAAAAATGTATATATTCTCTTTGTATGAAAATGGAGCACTGAGCATTAATTGAGGATACCATCCTCGCACTTGAAAATGACACCAACTCTTTGAATGCATGTCTAGGCATGACCCTTCATTCCAACTAGTATAATATGATTCTCCAAGGAAAACATATACTTTACTATCAATAGCGCAAACCCAAGTTCCCACATCAAACACTGGACTTCCTTCAGTTACCAATTCACCCCATTGCATGCTCTCCAGGTCTAATGTAAAAATTTCTTGAGAAAAGGGACCGCCAGGCTCATTTAATCCTCCTAGGATGTACATAATTTTCCCAATAACAAATGCACAATGATGGCGACATGAAGTTGGAGGTGTGCCTGTAGTAGCTGGTTCAGACCATGTTGAAGATTCTGTATCAAAACAGAGCAATTCTGGGAACAGATCCCAACCAAATTCACCACCCCATATGTACACTTTCTTGTCATATAAAACAGCTGAGTGCCCTGACCGCTTAAGAGGGGTAGAATCACTGTGAGGAAGCACCGTCATTTCGTAGTTGTTTGTATTCATCATGTAGACATCCATGGGTCCGTGGTCATCACTTAATAACCCACTTGGGTCATCAGAAAATCCAAAAGAGAAAATTGTGCCATCAACGTAAACAAATGGCCGACGAATTCTTAAAATATCGTAGTCTTGAATTCGAACTGTCCAGTTCATTTCTGTCTGAAAAACAGAAAGATCAGAGCTAAGTAAAATCAATAACTTACAATAAATGTGCTTCCTCACACAAATTAGCTATTTATTTTCATTCTCCAATTTGGACTGAAGAAAATAATTATGTACATTAGACAAGAACAGCAGTTAATTTTAATAATACACAAAGTGACATGATAACTTTATTCAATTACATAAATTAATCTCATTTCCATTTTTTTCTGTACTTCATATGAATATGCACAGCAAAAGCAAGTTGTGTACAACATGCCCAACAATCAACCCACTAATAAATAATATAAAAATGGCACAACATTTGCTCTAACATCAAAGAACAATTGATACCATGCAGATTTGTGGCTTCTACATAAACATGAGAAATATTGATCATTATTCAATAAGCAGAGTGCTGAAAATATTTTCCCCCCTAAACCACAAATAATAGAAATTCAAATTCTTCAAAGCATTAATCAATGCTTTCAGTTTTTCACAGGCCCGTAGCAGTTTTCAAATGAGAATTAAAAATTCAATATTTGAATCACCATTTTCCCCCACACTTAATTGTCTAAAATCTGTAATTCAACACTTTCTATTAAAACAAATTTTTTATTTTATAAAAGTAAGAGAATTATCCTCAAATATGCTACTTTATTTAGAAATAAAAAGTGCATATTTTGTTATTTAACAAATAATTTAAAGCTTTGGATATTAAGGGAATTCAAAAATAATTCCTTGGAGATCACAGCTAAGTTTTCATGGAATGAATCTCAAGTATGGAAACATGTAAACAAAAACTAAACTGTATTCAAGCAAACTAAGGAGCAATACTGTCATGATATTAAGAATTCTTCTTACAACACTTAACAGAAAGTAACACCGCTTCTACTAGCATTTTGATCTTATGACAAGAAATAATAAGCACAAGTATAAATACATCCATCTCACAAATATTCAACCATAAGTAGCCTAATAGATAACAAACACAAAATTAAAAATTGCATATAGCCATTACTGATATATTTTCAGGGCACATGCATACAAAACATTTAAGCAAATTTGTTAATGTATACAAACACAGAGTCAACAACTGTAAATTCTCACCCTTTTGTAAAAAGACCTGATTTACAGTAGAAGGAATTTACAGTAGAACCACCTTTACAGCCTGTTAAAAAACAAAGGTTTTATTACAAAAACTTCACTGGGTGAACAACTTATTTTATCTATAGAGTTATGTATAATGTTTGTATAATCTGTAATGTATGTATAATATGTAGAGTTATATATAATGTTTATTATTTTTTTTAAATTTAATTTCTCAGTAATAAAAAATTATAATTTGCATGAGAAGCTAAAACTACCTACAAAAGAGTGAGGAAGTCAATCATTAAAACATAGCTCTAAGTAACTGTTTAAAGCAAGAACCATTTTATTGTAATAATGAATAGAAATAATTAGAGAATACAGAAATTAAAAATACTAGTTGCCCTACACAAATGAATGTCTTATTTAAATTCAAGACAGAGTAGGAACAACACAAATGGAAGAAAATTTGAGGTCAGGGAAAACTTAACTTGTAAGCCTAATTTTCTCATCATTAATCAAAAGGGTAAAAAGGGAACCCTATGAAAGTATTAGAATTAACATGTATAATAGATGAAGACAAAAATTAATATGTAGATGATAATGATTGTGATGAATTCTCTTAAGCAGTAACAAGTTCCTCACCCCAAAAACTGAAATTTCATGGGTGAAAAACATTAACGGAAGTAAAAGTAGTGAATGTGACAAATTATTTTTCTTAATTTTTATTCAATAATATAAACTAAGATTAAAATGACTCCACTCATTTCTGTAAATCAATGTAACTTAAATGTCACACAAAATTCCTGAAGATTAATTGTATTTAAAAAAAAAATTACAAATACTAATACCTTTTCATCAACATTCAGCCTTCAGAATTTGAAGAGAATTTCGTCCTCACAATAGCATTGTTATGTTCCTTCCAATATAAAATGTTCACTTGTAATGTCTGGAAATTTTACCATCAATTAATTTTTATTTAATTATCGAAATTAAGTATTAACACACACACACACAAACCAACTTAATGTTGTACATAAATAAAACTCAATTCGTTTCCTCTTTAAATTAATACCACAATCATAGTACTGTGGTACAACAGTTGGATAGGAATAAGATGCAGACATTTATACGTAATCAAGAAACTAATCATGTACACGCAATTCGTAAGATAAGGTAAATTGCAGAATGTGAAACTTACATCAAGGAGTCTAAAGGGTTGATGAATGCTTCTTTTATGAATTCGACAAATCGGTGTTATTCACAATGTGTCGTAAGATTTCAGAACATCCAATTATTTATGTGGTCATTAAACGGCACAAATAGGCATATAACCTAACATGTAACGTCACACTACGTTAGTAACGTTATTCTGGAACTATTCGAAATAATTCCAAAAAATACAATAATTTTAATTTTCTTCCAGATAAATGCAAGATTTCAGCACAACAGAGAGCTACATCTCGTGCCTGCGGTTTACATTGAAATCGACTGCAAGCACAGCAACTTCTTTCTTAATACAAGAAAAATCTAGTGAACGGTGCAGAACGGAGGACTCTGCCTGACAGGATTTGACAGACGCTGGCTTCTGCGCTGTGAAAAGCGCGTAATGATTGGTTGTGTTGGTACTGCTGAACAGTACAAAGAGTATATATTATCAGTACTGATCTTGCGTTCACTTGTTTCCTACTTTACGAGTGGCGCTAGCGTGGCGTAAATTCCGAATGCGCGGTCTATTTGACTTGTTCACGCACGCATGTTCCCTCAGAACTAACACACTTATGATCGAAAACACCCACACAAAAATTGCAAAGATGGTGCAAAAATACGTTCTTCGAAGTTTATGTAGTACACATTCCTCCAAAGCCTTTCGTCATTTTATGGTAGCATTATAAAATGCGTTAAATATTTGGGCGTTAGAATAAGCTTTTTTGGTCTCAAGATTTCACTTTATTTTATTTTTTCAGAAACCATGTTTCTCTGCGATTTATTTGTCAGGTAATAGTTTCTTCATAAATTCACTATATTTTGAATTGCATTTGACCTCATCCAAAACTTAAGTGAGAGAAAAACCAAAATAAAACTATGTAACAAATTATAGGAAGGGGGGATTAAAAAATATAATTGAGTATATATATTTTATTTAATAAATAATGACTCGATTACAAAAATAGTACAAGTATTGTTTTTAAAACTAAGCAATAAAATGCCAATTTTTTAACATTAATTTGAAGATTATGAAATGAATAACTCCTGAAAATAAAAATGTGGACTAGGAATAACAATACTTCTATTTTTAGGTACCCTTGCAGATATCATAAATTACATTATACAAACAATGCATAAAATGCATAAAAGTACAAAGGTGAAATATATTAATACATTGCCCCAGCACCAATGAAAACGAATAGTGAATGCACCAAGAGATGTGTAATGAATTTCTCTATTCAAAAATAGCATTACAAACTTCAGGGCAATGATAAATCAGTTCTGTTATGCTTGAAAGTTCAATATTGCTTATCATTAAAGGGGGCAGAATTCAATTCAATGTGGGGATAGAACTTCGGTGCATTGGTCCATGCACCAAAGTGCATTTCAAGCACTGCTAGCACCTAAAGCTGTGAATAAGAGAACAATGTTTCTCATTGACTGAGAATATCACACAGTATTAAATGAATATTTAAATCACCTGATAAAGCAGCACTAGAGTAGCAATAAAATATTATTATAAAATGGTGAATTCTTTTCATTTGTAGCATTAATCTGTTCTTCCACAATGGAATTAAGAGTCAAGAAAAGGCATGTTAGTTAAAAAGAGATGGTGAAATCAGCTTTAACAAATAAATCCTATCTATCACAAGTTTACACAACTACAAAATCTCATTGATGATGCTCTACTGAAGCAGATCAAATGCTTCCAAATGGCACTCACAAAACATTAATTCCAGTCTGAAGGCAAACTGAAAAATAAAAAAACATTTGATCGAAAAACCAGAACAAAATTAACTAAGAAACATTTTACTGATAAAAAAAAAGTAGAACTCTAAAAAAAAAAAAAAATACTTCAGATAAATGATACATCACTATATTTAAAAAATGATTTAAGACTGATTTGATTGAAAGAAAACAGCATGTTTCAAAATATGATTTTTGTTTTCATGAAATAAGCACTGTTTTTTTGAACTTGATGTTTATTTTCTATTATTTCCTTCTAATTTACACTTGTTCCCCATGTACTAATTGCAAAAGTGTATCTCCCACCTCCAATGTAATGACAGTAAAATTAAAATTGTTTTCTTTGAATACCCAATCTTATTATTTTCATTTTAGATTATAAGGAAATTTCTTCAGCACTTACAAACAAACGTTGTTACCTATATCACAGCATTAATGATTTTTATCAGCAGCCCCAGGGTGAAAGATAAAATGTAACCAGGTGATCATTTCTTTCAGTTACTTGGAGGGATTAGGTACATCATAATATTGTTACAATTAACAGGATGATCCTGAGTTTCAAGAAATGCTTGCTAATAAGGCATATACCTGAAAATAGGTAATTTGATTTCTGTTAAGTAGCAAATCTGATATCAGATTTTGGGAATGCAGGATCAGTATGATTCCAATTCCACTTTAAAAGAACATTGCTTACCTTTACAAGAGCTAAAAACACAGCCAATTTGACTACTAAAATTCTGTTTCAGTAAAAGTGAGTGTGACTAGTGAATAATACCTAATGGCATAATGGAATGAAATAAAATACAACCTTAGTTAAACATTTTCTATCTGCAACCAGATGTGTGTTCACAGTCTCCAAGTTCTGGTTTGTAGACATGTTGTAACTTCAAAACACGTTCTTCAAGGCGACTGTGTGCACAGATCCCCAAGAGCTCCATTCTCAGAGCTTTGGGCAAGTTTTTTATGTCCAACCTATGCTGAAGGACCACTCGCAGACAAAGCATGTACAAAGAGGGACGGAAATCAACAATATGCAGGTCAACGTTGTTTCCAGCAAATCGACACTTGGCACCAAAAACAAAAACTCTGCAACTCACAACAACACACGCAAGGAAGACGTGTGGGATTGGAGACATTCCCGGCATGTGTACTTCCACCCATCGGTTTGTATCAGTTGCTAGTTTCAACAAGTAGATACCATCCCAATTTGACTTGGGGCATGTACCCCCAAACACATAGATGCTGTTCTCGTGCACAAACGTTGGGCTCTTCCATGTAAGAGGACAGCTCTCGCAAATGACAATTCTATGCCACCTCCCAGACACTGTGTCTAAGAACGACCCACCATTCCAGTGAGACCGATAGAGCTCTCCCCCAAATATATAGATTCGATGACCGACTGCACAAGCTGAAATTCCCTCCCACATATATGGGCCAGAGTGAGCAGCAATGTACTTCCACTGCATTGTACGTAAATCTAAAGCAAATACATCTGGCGAGTACTTTTTGGTGCGCCTGTCATACCCTCCAATTAAATACATACTATAATCTATAACAAATGCAAAATGAGAATTGCGAGTTTGCGGCACAGTTCCAGATACTTTTGGAATACTCCATGATGAAGTTACAGGATCAAAACACAATAATTCATCAAAAAAATGTTCATTAAACATTCCACCCCAAATGTAAATTTTATCTTCGTACACTACTGCAGAATGTCCAAACCGATGCCTTGGGTAAGAGCTGCTCTGCTCGTCTTTGCTGGTTGGCAGTACCTTTGACCAACTCAGGTTTTCGGTGTTCAAAGCATGGACATGCATGGGCACTTGTTCACTTGGTTTTTTGGTGGAGCTTGGCCATCCAAAAGAATATATCCTACACCCAACCGCTACAGCAGGATTGGGATCCCCTAAAGGCCCATCTTCCAGATGAGCTGTCCAATACATTCTAACCTGCAATTTACCAAAAAACATAATGTACATATTGTGCAGATGGTCACATAGGGAGTTATGTATAGCTCAGCTTCCTTTTTTTTAAAAAAAAATGGAAAATTTTGTAACACTAGCTGTGACTTGTTTCTTCTATTTATTAAATTTGTATTTTGCAATGTCTACATTTAAATAACATAAAATTTAATAGGTTTCAAGTTACAATTTCCAATCGATCATTCTTCAGTGTAAGATATACTTGTGAAAAACTGGATAAATGGCACTTTGTTATTGTCAAATAAAAAACAGAGGAACAGATATTGTCATTACTATATGTCTTACGGTTATCGCTACTGTAAAATCATGTTAAATGACATGTGATAAAAAACACCGAAGGGTACAACCTGGTTACTTCATAATTTTACTTACAAAAAAGCAGTTTGTCAGTATTTTCTGAAGTGAATGAGATTTGTAAATACATTTTTGATTCACAAAGCTTATTTAAACAGTAATGGCACAAGATTCCTAACATTTATTCAGTTTTAGAATAATATGCAATTGCAGTACTTATTCAAATTGTCACATTTCTCGAGAAAAAAATATTTGTCTTATCAGTTATTAGGTTCATATAAGTACTTACACTGTTGAATAGTAACTTCAAAATAATGAAGTCCTTTCAGTTACTTTTCCTCTGCTAACCACTTGAAATAATCTTGGATTCACATTTAGTTTTTCAAAATCCTAAAATTCAAGGAGAAAAACATTTTTATACAATTATGTTTGAAAAAGGAAAGACTAGGAAAACAAGTGATTGATGAAGTAAATTATTTTTATTTCATTATTATACCATGTATCACATGTCAATTGTATTCTTATTTTATAAAAAAATAATAAATAAACCCCTTAAAATAATGACAGTAATGTGATTTTGCATTTTCAAACTCAATTTATTCTACTCATCTGCAAGTTAACAAATTATTACGTTACCGGCATTCTACATATTAATTAACTTACCGCATGTATGAAATCCATTAACAACCTTGGCAAGAACTTTCAACAAGTATGTCACGTTATTCTTTATTCATTGTGATGTGCTTATGAACTGCAATTGGAAAATACCTAATGCAGTATTTCAGTTTGACATACCGTCCCTCGAATGACAAATGTCAATCTCTTTTGCGGCTAACAGACAATAACATATCATCGATATAAACGAAAAACAATTATCGTAATTTTTCATTACGCAACTCACAAGGGCCTGCAATCAAAATATTTAACAGTACGTGTCTTTAACGTACAAGACCGATAACAATTTCAGAGGTCAAAATGGTCATTCCAATCGCCACCATTCTTCCTACGCAGCAGTTTTGCACCTGTCTCCTTTTCCCATGGAGTTTGGTTTGTCCCCAACATGGTTTGATCCAGCGCCCTCTGGAAAGAGCAGAAAAGAGCGAGTTGAACTTCCCTTTCACGCCGCTTCAATCGCTAGTTTCCATGTAGTAAAGTTGACACATGTTTCAGGGTTTTTAACTAGTAATTCGAGTATAATATTACCCCATAAATCAAACTGCTTCACTTTTTCTGCGTGCAGTATTTTTACGTGAAAGTGTCTTGTATATCTTTTCAACAACTTCTTTCAATTCCTCCTTCCCATTATGTAATATAATCAGAAATGAATCGAAGAAACTGGCCATACCAGCAAGGAATGGGCGGGGTAGGTCGAGTGAGAGTAAGGGGATAACCTCAATATAAAAACCTGTGTGATACTTAATTTTATAATTTACAAAACGTGCAAGTAAAAATTCCAACATGGTTGAAGAAACTAATGCAGTAAATAAACCGAAGGTAAATTGTAATACTGTTCTGCACATTTTACTTCTGCCAATGACAGACGGTGATAACCAACCCCATGCATTTACTTACTAGAACAGAACAGCTCGTCCTAGACCAGTATATTTGTGGACTGTGCAGGATGTACAGAAGTGGCTGAAGAGGCATTGCACAGATTATTACCCTCTATACTCGGACAAATTTCAACAGGTATGGAAATGTTGTTCATTTATTCACACCATGGAATTTGTCAGCCTTAAAAAATTCATTTGTGATGCAAATATTATTTAAAACATTGATTGATTGCAGCATGAAATAACAGGGCGTACACTTCTACGTATAAATGAAAGTACCTTAATGAGACTTGGCATTGATGTTCCTCAACACCGTCAAGTAATTTGGAGGCAAATTCTGAAATTACGCCTCAAAATGGATATAGTAGAAATTCGGGACTTGGAAAGAAGAAACAACATGAATTATGACTAATTTTATCAGATATTAGTAACATTTGTATATATTAGTAGGTTTTTTAAAAGTCAGTGTGATAATAGGCCAGTGATTTTTGTTTATTGTGAGTTTTGAAGTCATCCAGCTCAAAATGAATTGATTCATTTTTGATTGTAAATTATCATGATGTGTCCAAGAGATATCTTACTCATTAAAGATTTTCTTTACAATATTTATGCTTCTGTGTGAAGACTTCGAAAATGTGTGTGTTAAGTTTTTGACTTATTTATCATTAAAAGACAGTAAAAACTGTATGCAGCATGTGAGGAAGTATAATCTGTGCTCCAAAATCCCTACCCTACTCTTACACTATACAAGTGTCATCAATGAATGGCTATTAACAATGAGTTGTACCATATACTACACGTCAGCCTTCACAATTGAAAATCAGAAATGTCACTGTTAAGTAACAGAAAAATTGTGTAGATCAGGAAATTAACTACAGATTTGATTTTATAGTATTTCTGACAAAATAATAATCCAGGCCGCCGGCCTGGATAGCCAAGGTTGCTAAGGCTGAAGGGCTGTTGCTGCCTAAGCGTGAAGGGTCCCAGTTTTGAATTCTGCACTGGGCATGGATGTTTGTGTACGTTGTTAGTAGTGTTCCCACACCGTTACCCCAAATTTGAAAGTTACAGTGGTCGCTGTAAGACAAAGCAGTTGAAAAGTAACCTTAAATTAAAGAATTCAGGCCCTAGTTACACTGCAACTAGCAAAAGGGGGAACTCAAGAAAACATGCACATAGTGAAGCTACATTTAAGTTTTGAAATGAGTGTTTATCCATTATAATGTTTTGTTCTAAATTCTAATGAGCATTGACTGAAAAAAATTTTGATATCTGAAATTTTGGTTGAACTTCACTTTATTTTAGTTCCTCCATATGCAGGAACTGCAAAGGGATGTAGAGGACTAACTTATATATTATTTTGGGCATTAAAAAAGCATTGGTAGCTTTGTATTCCAAGTCTCAAGGTGGTTTTATATAAATCTCAGAGGTCAAAAAGCAAAACTTCCTTGTTGACTTACATAGAAGAGAAACAACTGGTTTGTAAAAGTATTTTGGTATAAAACTGCCAATTTTTTCAATTTCCTGAGTCAAGGTTGTGTTGTGCTACTTCACTTACAAGCTAGAGGAAAGTTTAACTAAATATTTAATGCAAGTATCATTTTCTCATGGTACATACACGACAAAAATGAGACGGGTAATGCCAAAGAAAAATGCGTAACTTAAAACAGCATTAATAAACAGTAATTTAAATACATGATAATATCAGTTGTAAAGAAGCATTATAATTATTATTATTATTATTAAGCAATGAACTGTTGATCTGAAATTAATGAATGTGTGTAAAATTTGTACAGTACAAGAGTATCTAAACTGAACAATATATGGCAGCTAATTTATCTGTTGCTCATTTCCCATTGCTAATACGAACAAACGTTTATTGTCAATAATGTGTGTATTGCTATCTTCAGTTATGAATAAAACCAATGTTGGTAAAGTGAATGAGGGTGAAGATTATGGAGCTCTAGAAAACATACCTATGTAATAACAAGCCTGTGACTTTGTTCAAACCAGAGTTCTTTTTGGCTGCTTGTAAAGTGTTTTTGTACAATTTTTTATTGAAGTTATAAATCAGAGGTATTTCACAGAGGAATATAAATCAAGAATAAAACGTGTGCTAAATTTTTTTGGCATCCTTCAAACTTTTACTGAGCTGAAATCTTTTGTGCAAAAACATAATTTTTGAATGTTCAATTCCAACACTAAACTTATTTTAATTTTACACATATACTAATTTTAATTCAGATGTACAAGATTTACAGTCAATTCAGTAAACCCATGTATATAGTAAACAAGTTGCCAGAGTGATTAGCTCAACATTCTGGAACAAGTGATTTTAGCAAGTGTTTTACCTCCTTGAGGACACTGCTGGATCCCCCCCCCCAAAGGCATATAGTTTTCATTTCTCTTCCTTTATTTAGAAAAATTGATTTAAATATTTATGTTTTAAGTATGTAATAATTTAAATAATGTTGTATAGTATGGTATGTAGAGTATGTATAATATACAATATAATGTCAAATATGTTTATTATTATAAAAAAAACTATGACCTCTCCCCCCTCCACCCCACCCCCCAAATAATGATCTTCTGGCACTGTCCCTGCTTGGGAGAGGTACCTCACCCCCAGTAAAGTAGAACATCACACTCTATAGCGGTGGGGACCTCTTATTTCAAATGAATTCCCTCCTCCCTCAAACCGTATTCATTTCTCCATGCACTAGAAATAACTTACAACATTAAACTTGCGTTAGAGATAAGTGTTTTTGAATTAAAAAAAAAATCGGGTCCTGGGGCAAGTTTCCCCAGCTCAGCCCGTTCTGTTCGCCCCTGCACCGTGGGAATAAGGGCGGTATGAATAAAAGTAAGGAATTACTCTTTGCTCCGAGTTTCGGAGTTCCTTCTCAATTTCGTGAACTGTTGATGTTGAAAGTGGGTGAGCAATTGCTCAGTCTCTGATCACTTGTTCCGGCCTTGAGCGTACTCACAACTGGCGAGCAAATGCTCAGAAATGGTGTAAAAAAAGTTAAGAGTTTACTCTCTAGAATGAGCACTTGCTCCAAAATTTCGAAGGGACCTTAGTAGCAGACTCACGTTTAAAAGATAAAGATTAAATTGGCCGAGTTTTTATCGTGTGCTGACATGCAGATGCAGCGGACTTAAAAAATTACAAGAGAAGGCAAGTTTCTCGTGATGTAGACAATACGTATCTTTACCGTTTCGAAAAGGACAATGTTGTATCAATTATTATACTGTGATTGTATGGCAGAAAGTATATATCCATTGAAGGTTGGTACGATTTTTATCGGCGTTTGATTTCAGGTGCGTTTTCATATTGCATATCTTCTGCGTTAATTGGCCATCGCTCATTTGTCGGAGTACTGTTTTTTCAAACTTTGTAATGCTTCGTTTCGGCCACGGCGTACCTTCGGCAGCTGGCACTTATCAAAAATAATTTAGCTTAGCATTTCCGCAAATACTAGCTGGGCCTCTGGGGCCTTCTGTTCCTTGTTACTGCTACTCATATTCGAATTTAAAGAACGAAACAAAACGTTGAGGAGGAAACAAGGTTGACAAACATTGTTTATGATCAATGACCATTTTTGGAGGGTAATGCTCTAGCATTAATCTAGTATTGATCGAGAAACTACGGAAAAATGCCGATCAGAGCAGCCGACCGCTGGAATTCTCCTTCCGACAGCTTAATTCGACCTGACTGTAGAGCGGAGTCGAAAAGCCACTACACTCCATGCAGTGAGGAAAACCTAACGAGCGTTGAACCCAACGAGCTACAATATATTCTAGTTTAGATTTAATTTCAGTAAAAAATTATAATAATAATAATAAATAAATTAAAAAAACAACTGTATGTGACGTAGGGGGAGAAGTTTGTTGGGTAAACCACACTCCTTGTATTTCGAGAGAGGTCACCATAACATCTTGCTTAGTACGTTCACCATCCCGGTTATGTAGGTGGTATTCAGGGGCGTATTTACGCATAGGCACATGAGGCAACTGCTTACAGCAGCCAAATTTTCGGTGCGGCAAAAACTGTTAATGTGAATTGTGTCAAAAATATTATTTTTTGTCGGGTGCGATTTTTTAATTTGTGAGTTTTTGAAAAAAAACGATTAAATACTACGAAATTAATTTATTAACAGGCTTATAATATCTTCGGCAGAATGATTCGTGGTAAGTCACAATGAGCAATGTTTACATTTCCAGACGTCATGCAATTAAGAATTAATTACAATTACCGAAAAGGAGTCTTCACGTTACGTAGAGAAAATTATTCAAATTATAAATTTTGGAAATTATACATATTTAAATACTTGTAATTTTGATAATCTGTTTCAAGACGTCGTATTTTGTTCATATTTTCTAGTGTTAAATGTACACAACTATTTTAAGAACTAAAGGTAGATCAATGGCAGAATAATAAATACACATAACTACAAAAAACATGATGAATTTGTTACATATTTCTTACACATAATTCTATACTTCAAAATACGAGGGTGGTCCCAGAAGTACCCGACCCAACAAAGAAAAAACAAAAATTTTGGAAAAAATATGTGTTTATTTTTCAACATAATCTCCTGTGAGCTCTATACACTTTTCCCAGCGATGTTCAATAAGTTCGATACCCTTTTTATAATAAGAACTTACTTGCTCCTCAAAATAGCCATTAACTACCGATATCACTTCATTGTGGGAAAATCTTTGACCACTGAGCCAATGTTTCAAGTCTGGGAACAGAAAATAATCAGAGGGGGTTAAATCTGGCGAATAGGGTGCATGAGGTAGCAATTCAAATTTTAATTCATTAATTTTGGCCATTGCAGTAACGGATTTGTGAGCTGGTGCATTGTTCTGATGAAACAACACTTTCTTCCTAGCCAAGTGTGGCCGTTTTTGCTTAATTTCATCGCACAAACGTTGCAATAAGTTTGCATAATACTCGTCGCTGATAGTTTTTCCCTTTTCAAGATAGTCAATGAAAATTATCCCCCGCGCATTCCAAAAAACCGACACCATGACCTTGCCTACAGAGGGAACGGTCTTCGCTTTCTTTGGTGCGCGTTCTCCCTTTTCAGACATTGTTGTCTCTGGGGTGAAATGGTGGACCCATGTTTCATCCATGGTTATGGAACGGCGTAAAAATTCTGCTTTGTTGCGGTGAAACTTCGCTAAACACTCAATTGAAACATCTTCACGACACTGTTTTTGCTCGAGTGTGAGCAAACGTGGCACCCATCTTGCACACAGCTTTCTCATGTCTAAATTTTTAGATAATATGCGATGTACCGCACTTTTCGAAATGCCTACTATGTCTGCTAGCTCGCGCACTTTCAGTCGACAATCACCCAGTACAGCTTTGTGGATTTTCTCTACCATTTCTGGAGTTGTCACCTCATTTGGTCGACAACTGCGATGCTCGTCTTGGCAGCTCGTACGGCCTCGTTTAAACTCTGCTACCCAATATTTTACTATAGTAAACGAAGGCGCAGACTCACCCAGAGTAGAATCTAGTTCGGTTTTTATACTGGTTGGGCTGAGGCCTTTCAAATGAAAGTATTGGATCACATAACGATGACCAATTTTCTCCATTTTTACAAATTCACTCACAACGTTCACTAATGATTGTTGCCAAACAAATACTAAACAACGTAGCGTCTTCAAACTTGAAACATATGGTTCATAGATTGTCTACTTTCTAATACAGTGATATTTTTCGAAACACTACCACGATCTCTAGGTCAGGCCGGGTACTTCCGGGACCACCTCCGTATGATTTAAAAATTAATTGATTTCCCATACAAAAAATTGAACACGCATAAGTTATTAATTAAAATATATTTAATTTTAGTCATAAATATGTGTCCAATTTTTGAGCATAAATTATATTTATAATATAGTATAACTTTATTCTTGGGTTATATAAAAAAGGCGGCAATTTTCCGAGTGATTACTGGCGACGAAGTTGTTAATACGCTTCTGGTGGTAACCACGGAGAGATCTCAAAGGTTGCGCTCTAAACCCGATCGACGACGTCACAATTCCAGGTGCAATACCTCCACGCAACGCCACTTCTCTGTAGTCTGCTATTTCTAGTTTGCCTTGCCACCACGTGTCACTCTTTTATTTTATGGTCTAGAGAAACTCGTAATTATGGACATGTACGTCAATAATTATTCTAAAAATAAGATATTTATAACCTTTAAGAAGTTTCTTGTGTGGATAACCGTGGTAATCTTTCAAATTGGGTGAGCAACCAAGTAACTGTGAGAAGAAATACTATTGGCACCCATATAATGACCAAATACTGGTAAGATTTCTGTTACTTCTGTAAGAAAAAGGTCTAGTATTAATATCTAATTTCTATAATTTTAGTATTAATACTAAAATATAAACATCTGTCTCATAGTAAGATTTGATTAAGTAGTTCACTCTTTAAATTTCAACTTCAATTTTTGAACATGGAAAGCAAATCGTGGATACAAAACTGACAACAAAAATCCATATTACGTACGTTCTCAGTAAACCAAATACGAAAAGTAAATGTTAATGAATACAAGAAATCTGTTTGACAAAGAATTTGCATGCATTTGACAAAATGGCTGATCCAGACATTTTTTGGGAGAGGAGGGGGGATTGGTTCGAATCCCCCTTCCTCATCAATTCCATTGAGTTTTGTTTGATTCAAATAGCCAGTTCATTGAATCCATCGTCCCTGACATGTTATTTTGTGTGATAGCAATGGGAGTAACATTTAACTACACCAAGATGATTAAAAAAAGTGAGGTTAGTAAAGAAGCTAAGTGGACTTCACCCACTGTCTGAAGGAGAATTCTAGCCGCCGGCGGCTCTGATATAGTTTTACGTGGTTTAGCCGATCAACACTGGGCGAGTGCCGGAGAAGTACTCCAACAAACGGGCCACGGACCCCGCGCGATCTTTCCTCCCCAACAATAAAGTTATTTCGAAACTTTTAACTTCGATTATCGTTTACATTTACAATGGAGTTATAAAAAATGACGCATGCAACTCTTTTAAAATGGTTTTATTGCTTCGACAAATTTGAAAACTCGCTTGTAACGTCGCTTGTTTTCAAATTT